AAACTAAACCAGGGTAGGTTTAGACTAGATATAAGGAAGAAATTCTTTACAATGAGGGTGGTGAAACACTGGAACAGGTTGCCCAGAGAGGTGGTGGAGGCCCCATCCCTGGAAGCATTCAAGGCCAGGTTGGATGGGGCTCTGAGCAACCTGATCTGGTTAGCGGTGTCCCTGCTCGCTGCAGGGGGGTTGGACTAGATGACCTCTAGGGGTCCCTTCCAACCCAAAACATTCTATGATTCTATGAAAACTACTGTCATCTATGATAATCACAACTGCACACTTTAATAATTACAGCATTTTGAGAAAAAAAACCAGGTAAACAAGTAATTGCAGGCCACAAGAAATTGATTTCACTAACAAAAGAGAAAATAAGTACCCAGTGATTAGGAGAGCCTTTTGAAGAGCTTCAAACCAGAAGCAGCACCAGAATTACTACTTTTATCTAGTCATGTCAGCTACATTATTATAAAAGTCAACTCCCATATACTTTTTAAAGTGATCTGCTCTGTGTGGTTCTCATCAAGAAAAGGTTTCATGCCATCAGCTACTCAGAAAACAAACAGAACATTTAGCTTACCATCCCTGTTGGACAGCAAACATACGAGGCCGTTAAGGCAAGTGTCAGTCACTTCGGTGATGTTAGTTGCGCATCTGCCTATAGCCTGAATTGTAGCTGCAGCAAACTGTTTATCCTGGCTTTTCACATAAGTCTAAGGAAATAGGATTGTCATTAGTCAATACATCAGTCTTGTCAACCAAAGGCTTACCATATTATCCTCATAAGACAGATATACTGTATAATAAATTCAATCTAGAAAGCTGCATTGCACATTAGAAGTTACACTTTTTTCACCTCATTGTCACTTCTAGAAGACATTTTCTTGCTGGCTTTCACCACCCATGGTCATGCAAACCTCTGATTTCAAGAAAGCTTGGGACAGGGGGCAATTACCCAAAACCAGCAATTAGTTTGTGTGCAAGGTTGGAGGAGTTGATGAGCCCTCTCTTCAGAGAGCTTTCAGTTCATTTAACCAGGAGCATCTGTGAAACTACGAATAACCTACCTGCCTGAGAACCAGTACCTTTCAGAGAAATCCAGGCAGAGAACTGAAGCAATGAAAATAGATGTCATAAGCAAAGAGGAAAGAAAGAAGGACAGACACTGTTTCACTATATAGGCAGAACATCTTGCTGATACATGTACATATATCGGAGATAATATTATTCATCAAATGACTTACAGAAATGAGGTTTGGCAATAAATGCTAATGGCCAAATATTACTAAAATTAAGTCCCTATCATCTAGTGACTTACAGTGTCAGTCAAGTTTGTAGAATTTGTTTTAAAGAATTTGTAATGACTGAGGTTGTGGGTTTTTTTTTCTTTTTGGTAGCTGGAAGGAGAGTGAGAAACAAAACATTGAAACTCCTTTCCACATACAAAAAGCTCCATTATCCATCATGATATGAGATAGTTTCATTTCCATTCCAAGAACATTTCATCCTGGAAAAGACTTTAACTTGAAAAATTTAAGACTAAGAACCTAGATGAAACATCCAATAATGGCAATTGGCCAATAGAGAGCATTTCATATAAAAAGAATACACTTTTGCACAAACCTGAAATTCTCGAAGCAGAGTTGATATGTTGGCTTCATTTGCTAAATTTGTCAAGATTTCAAGCTACAAGAAAAAAAAAGTATTTAATCAAAAGCTAAAATATTATAAACAGTACCACATATGCACTGTGCTTTTCCTGTATATAAATAAAATATAATACTACTAAAAATACCACTTAGAATTCAATAGAGTATACCAGATTTCAGTATAAACTCATAGCAGCATTGCACTCAGGAGGAATATTCTCCTCACAAGTACACGCAAGGTTTTCCAAGCAGGACTCTAGGGTTCAGTGATGCATTTTCTATGAGCTCTAGCTTTAGTGTTGCATTACATATCAAAATGGACTTGAAATATTTCTGTCTATTCTATTCAGATGAACTCCAATAAAAGACCTTTAAACTCAGGAAAGAAACAGTTGCATCTATGAGACTCCTTGGATCTTAATCAACATCAACAACATCAGACCCTGAAAGGCCTCTTCTTTGTTCCTAGTGAACAAGAGGATGATACACAACACTTGGCATATATTGTTAAGATGCTATGCTTCCAGGTTGTTTTAGCTTAGAAGAAGAAAGAATTCCAACATGATCTGAATCAAGTAAACTAAAGAAAAAGACAACTGTCTCTGTAAAGGGAAGTCATGCCTCAGAAATCTGTTGGTATTTTTTGAGTTGGATGCACACAGACAAGGACACTTAATTGACACAGTCCTCACAAATTTCAGAAGCAAAATGTCACCAAAGGCTCCTAAAGAAACATATCTAGCATAGCATACAAAGCAAGTGGATAAATGAAAAGAGAGGAATAGGCAGGAAAAAAGGGACTTTTACAGTACAGGAAGGCTATCAATGGAATTCCACAAATACCTTTGTTTATCTTCTGCTTTTCAACATATTCATATACAAACTATGAAAGTAATGACAAAGTTTTCAGAGAAATGAAGGCAAAGGCTGACTCAGAAAAGCTGCATGAAAACTCCAGATATTAGGTGACTAGTTGATAAAATGGCAAAAAAAAGTCAACACAGATGACTGTAAAGTAATGCTCACAATTGGGGAAAAACCTTGACTTTACAGAGAATTGTAGGCTCTGAGATGATTACTACTAATCATAACTGAGAATTTGTGGTTGAAATAGGTAAGTCCATGAAAATATAAGCTCAATGTCAAGCAGTCATCAAAAAAGCAAACTTGGTTAGGAAAGGAACAGAACAAAACAGAAATCTAAACAGTGCAGCAGATGAATTCCAGGGTGTTCCTACACCTTAAATACTACCATAGGTCTCATCCTCCAATCTTAAAGCAGATAGGATAGAACTACAGAGTAGGAGGTGGAGAAAAGCACAAGATTTTCTTATGTATGTAACACTGTAGGTGGCCCTAAATTTTTCAGCCATGAGACAATGAAAAGAAAAAACAGAGTTTATACTTCTGTACCTCATCGCCATTGTATTATTAATTAATATGGGAATTTAAACATATCAACTTGCAATTATTTCAGAAGTGACTTTTCCCGGATAATACTAAGTCTTACTAGTATTCCTGACAGTTTTCATAATCATTAAATGTAGAGAAGATCTTCTTGCCTCAAACTGCCTCAAATTTACTTAGATTTTATGCTGGACTAATAAAAATATGGTGGGTTGGGCACAGCCATCTTGGACTGCACTACTCTACACATGTAATGAGGGTGCAACACGGACGTAAAATGAAAACAAGGAAAAAATAATGTTTCTTTAAGAAACCTGTATCTTCCACTCCTAAACACAAGTGCCTATGACAATCTAAAGCAAAACAAGAGAAAAGGCACATAATAGTAGACAACTTTTAGCTATTGTTTTGTCAAGGATTTCACATCTGTTAAATACTAAGAATAGAGAAAACAAGAAGTAGACAGCCTAAAACATGCATTGAGATGTGGCCTTGAGGAAAGCCTAAAGTACTTCTCACATCAAATGCTGACTTCAAAGGGAATTTGGGACTCTAACACTGTCCCATTTTGTTCAGGGTAACAGATTTAAACTCCTTCTAAGTCAACAGTAGCAAAGACAGTGTGATTTCATTTCTTGTCATTTGAGAAGACTCTACCTCCCATGAACCAGTCAAATTCTAAGTTTTTGAATTGCTGGTTAGATTGAAACAGTAATGCTCTGTATCACTGAAAGGTACCAAAAGCTGAAGTCCATGGGCCCAAATAGCTCATCTTCACCTACAACATGGTAACAAGAGAACTTTCAGGTAGCCTGACAAGCCTGAAGGACGCTTGTGGGCTTAGCTAAAAGCCACAACTCTACAATTCTTAGTGAAAAAAAAAAAAAAGAATAGCACAGAATGTGTGTCATATCAGTGCAAGGAAATTTTACCTGCCAAAGGCAAACAGATTTGTCCAGTAGTATATGGACGATTTCACTTTTAAACTCACCTTCAGTGTTTTGATCATTGTTGGATCAGTTGATCTAACATAGAAACTCTTCAGATAAGGTTCAAACATACCCTGAAAAGCAGAAAATATTTAAGTATCTTGCCTGTGTGTCATACGAAATGTGATTTAGAAAATTCTAAACAGGGTATACCTTTCTCTGAATTGACATAGTGGCAATGTTTTGCAGAACAATATACTGCACCTCCCTAGAATTTCAAAAGAAAAAGAAGAGTTATTCTGGAAAATTACAGATACATAGAATAACGCAGCATGGCAAAGAAAGTCAAATCCTATTCGAATCCAAAGTTAGTTATACATTAGACTTGGCACAAACATAGAAGGAAAAAGCTTATTGCCAACTGCTAGAAGTCCATCATCTACTTCACAGGACGATGCATGATGAAACCAGGCTCTCATTTTTAAAAACTTGAATATGTAGAAAATCACTGACAGCAGTGCAATGGTGCAATGCTTCTTGTAGACCTAAGGTCCTTGTTTATACCAAAAATTCACTGAAAACATTGCCATTCTGGCACCTCCAGAAATAGCTCACAAAAACCTTACAGTTTGACCGGCATCATGAAACATCAGTATTTCAGGACGACATAAGTGAGAACAAAACCACATGGGCTTTATCTGTAGTGTGGAAATGACTGCATTAGTTACAAGAATACATAGTCCTTGCACAACTAGCATAGATTGCTATGTGTTTTTCTGTCTTAAAAAAATTCCCTAATGATTCTCAAAAACGGTGAGGTTTTCCTTTGACTTAAAGAGTATACACTGGCAGGCATACTCATCTATCAAAAAGCAGCCCTTCAACATAATAGACTTTGTCAAGATACAGACAAAAGAATTATACGATATTCTAAACAGAAAAACATTAAACATGTTTCGAGGATATTCTCATCATTAATGTATTAGTTTAAAAGCCTCAGCAGGAGAAAGCAAAAAGAAATCTTGGTACTAGTCTAAAGCTTTTAAACTACTGAGTTTCTGCCACCAATTGCTTAAAAAGTAAGTAATAATTTACACGCAATTTTTCTGAATCATGAGTGCTCAAATTCTTTCATGATGCAAATCACATCCTAATAGAGAAATCATCACATCCATTATCTCCTCTTATTCAAAACTGTCTAATAGCCCTGTGGTAATTACAGCTGTTGCTTACAAAGAAAAGTAATAATAGAGAAGTACTTAATATCTTTTAAACCTATTTTTATGTAATTCTTACATAGGTACATGGAAATAGTCAGCTGCACATGATGAACCAAGACTGGAAATTGCTATGAAATGCTCTTCCAGCAACTCTTAACCTAACTAGATTATAGCATATTTGACATTAATTTAAAGGCCATAGGCACATAACTTCAAGGGCAAACAGCAAAAGCTTATTTCGAAGCGGCTCTAATAGCGAAAGTGTTTCACACAAACTGGTAACAGAGAACAGACAAGCCATTCAACAGGAAAATCAGAAGACTAGTGCCATTTTAGGCACTAGTTGAGGTACAAGAAAGATGTAACTTCTCTTTTGATGAAATTTGAGTACATATGAGCAATAAACAACATGCAGAAATAATCCTTTCAACCTGTGAGTATGAGTTTAGTTCTATACATTACCTGTACATATGCCAAACTGCTCTAACCATTTTACCTACCTTTATACAAAGATACTGCACTATAAAACCAAACACAAAAATAACAGTAATTCATTTTTACCTGAAATAAAAGCATGAATACTCTGTCAAGCCCAATTTTATTTCTTTACTAACTTTTAAATGATAGAAACATAAGCCATGGACAAGCTGCAGAAGTTTGCAGAGAAAAAGCTCTATGGTGACTGGGCTTACAAAAGTTAATGCCCATCTGAGTAAACTTGTCAGGCATAATAAAAGTGATTTTCTTTTTTTAAAAAAAAGCTTTTTGTCTGTTTGATGTTGTCAACTTGAAAAAATAAATCATTTTTCACAGTGAAGTTCTAGCCAAAAATACTATGTTTATTTAGAAAGTTATTCTGAAAACACTTTAATTTTGTATCTCCTAACACCCCTTCAAGGATTTTCATACAGATACATGGAAGTTCAAAACCTAAAAAAAGAGGGAAAACCCCCTGACTTTTTGTCGTGGTTTAACCCGGCTGGCAACTCAGCACCACGCAGCCGCTCGCTCACTCCCC